ATAAAATATTTCTAGAATAAAACTTTTTCCGTCTTATAATATTTAAAAAATGTTGATATTTCCCCGGATAGGACTTCTGCAGGCGTGATTGGTATTTTCCGATGACCAATTCACAAAAATTCACCGATATAGGTGGTCTAAATCAGAACAAGTAGTTTCCATTTCATGAAATAGATGAAATTTGTGTTCATTATAATATATTATATTATACTATATGCATGTCCATGACAAGACGTTTAAGAAATATATCGATTATAATAAAACATCGTCGGAGAAAGGCGATTAAAAATTAAATATAGAGAAAGTTGTTAATATGACCATTTGGTATTTTTATAATATATTGTGTTGAAAAACATAGTTAAAATATATTTAAAAGTCAATTCTATGAAAGTTTTGATTCATGACGAAAAGTAATAACATTTGTTATTGGAATATAATAATATATTATAATATGATAATACAAATGACTAGTCATGGACTCAAGTGAAAGCCTGAAACTATGATGTATATTTGTAGAATAATTATGAGATATAAAGAAATTAAGTTCATCTTTCGACTTTATAAATTATATATTCCTATTACCTAATACCTACACACAGTTTCTATGTTTTAAACCCCATATACTATAATTTGGTTATTCAGTGGTAAATACGGAGTAATAAGGTCCTACCCTAAATAATTTTTTTGGGACGTGGATGGTGGGTGGTAGGTGGACCAACGGACCATTTTATGGATACAAATAAGTAGCATAATAATTTACCTACTTATAATATGTTATCAATTTTAGCATAAATACCTAAACATTAACTCTATCTATATTCTCTAATACTTTAAATAAGACAGTATAGAATAGTGGTAAAATTAAATGCTTTAAACAATTTACTGATTGCAATATGCACTATACTTGATATTCAACATCAACGCCATGTATTGATTAATGACAATATTAATACAATAATACCCGTCAGCGGTCAGCTGTCAGCAGTCTGGTTCCATTATCACACCCTGTTTGGAGAGCAGATTAATTATTTCAAGATACTTTTTAATTGGTTTTAGATTTAATAATTACTTAGATAAATAAATTTACAGATAATAATTTAAAAGTTATGAACAAATTAGCTTTTGTTTCTATTGAAATAATCAATGAAATTAAAATAAATCCTAACATAATTTCAAAGGGTTCTGCCTTTCAGTACCTATATCATACATTTTACATTCTGAGTGGAGCAATGAATGAATATACTTACAATGAATAATCATGTGTGCTTTTTTGTGTGACTGCGTACACGATAAGTACCTAGTTGAAATAATGCTTCGATTTTCAACTTCAGTATCTATCTTTAGTGGCGGGAAAGTAAATTAAATTGCACTAACGAACAAAGCATCATTTGAGAGTTCAAAATTTAAAGTTCCCAGTAATTTAAAAATGCATCGGAAAATTAAGTGGGTCGCTGTAACAGAAGGTGTTAAAATTTAAATTCAATGATATAATATTATCATTGTGCAGTATACCGCGAATATCGATTCTGAGTGGAGACTGGAGACTGCTTTTTTTCAGCCTACATAATATAATAATATTTTTGAATTACATCAAAATAATTTAGGTCGTTTTTCTTTGTATAATATCTAATTTTGTCCAAATTTAAACTTAAAATAGTATTTTTCTAATTTTTTTAGATTTTTTGGTGACAGTATGAACTACTTATGAGATGCCTTGTTTTAAAATTTAGCTAAAAAAATGAAAATGTTATAAATTTGTAACTACAAAATAATATGAAAATTTTCGAGGTTTGACGAATTTAATCAAATTTAATGCTTTAAATGCTTTTAAAAAAAATCGTGCCTTCGTATCTTTTATATTTTTTAACGGTTATTATAACAGATTATGAAGAATTCTGTATTAAGTGTTCAAGCTTTTAATATAACAAAATAAATTTATTGACATTAATAAAAAAAACTTAAAAAAATTGGGAATGACTATAAATATATCAAACCTATAGTCTATATATTTTGAACATTTTAACATGTGAGAATGATAGAAATATAAAATAAACGTTGGTTGAAAATTTCAAGTATCTACATAGGTACTACGGTTATTTTGAGCTACAACAAAATAATAAAATAGTTCGATGAGAATTTATTTATTAATTTACGGCTGAAAATCCAATGTCAAAAAAACTTAAACTTCAAATGCTCATAAAAATTAGTTTGATTTTCCGGTAAACTTGATTTTTGTTAAGGCAGAAAAACTTAGTAGGAATCATGTATTAAATTTTCAAACTGACTCACAAAATTTTGACTCATAAAAAATTATTTTGGATTTACGCTCAACTGCCTCAACTTATGGGTCGGTCAAAACTCCCCCCTATTTTAAAAAATATAAATGACGTCATTACTTATAAGTTTATATATTATGATGTAGCTGCTAACAAAATGTTGACCATAACATGGAAAACATAATCTAAATTATAAGTATAAATGTATTATGCAATGATATATTAAATCCATTAGTAACGTAGGTACTTAATAAAATAAGCTCTATAGTTTATAATCTTCATACCACTATACTTATTAGTTCAGGGGCGTATACAAGGGGGGGATGTGGGGGTCAGATCCCCCCCCATAGGCCTTTTTTTAAATTTTATAAAATAGTGTTCTTAATGACTTAATGTAAGGAAATTACAAGGAAAAAAAATGGCAAGGATTTTTTGTAAATTTTTATTTTAACACAATATTCAACAATTAATTAAAAATAATTTACATATAATCGTATAGGTAATCGTATTATGTGATATTTGATAATATGTATATTATATATACAAGTATAATGAATTATTATAAGAATAATAATATGAGGCAGACGCAGACCAGCCACGGCCCGTCGCCACCGTCACCGATATCAACGCGGTGGAGACGATATAATAATACATTTTCCTATACATTAGAAAAAGAAATATTATTATGGTATAATATAAGGTTATTGCACGATGGTTTTTACGCATTTATACCAAAACATTATCAATTTTGTATATTATCAACTAACATGGATATACCTACAACATACTAGCTAATAGCTATCAGTAATTTGTTCATTGAAAGCTAAAAATTGCTTAAATAATAAATATTATTGACTAAAAAAAAAAAGAAAATTAAATTTTGTTCTATAATTACTTGTAGAATATAAAATAAAATGTATTGAATATATATATGTTTTATCATTTATTAGGTATTTAAATGAGCACATACCTAGGTTTAGGTATTTTCGTTCCATAATAATTTGTTTGCAACTGATCCCCCCCCATACAAAAGTTATGTATACGCCACTGTATTAGTTATTACCTATACCTAAGGCTATTCGTCTAAACATTATAGATAGGTATGCATATTGAATAAATTGACTGGTTTCAAGGCTGATGATCGCCTTCAGCATCAAATATTATGATAAATATTACTACTTTCACCTTCAAAGAATTTTGGATTAAGGGAATATTACATATCTACATGCTACTTACTCAGCACAGAATCAAAACAAGATGCAAGTACTTAATATTATACAAGACTGCCGGACGCCAGTACCTATATCTTTTTATGGAAATGGAATTAAAATATTGTATAAGTATAAGCCAGTAAATTCTTTAATGATTATTTGTTATTTGCTACCTATTTAATATACAACCGTGGTCCGAGAACATTGTAACATTTCACTAACAGTTTTGTTTTATAAAAGAAACGTTTAGAAATGATACTTGTTATCTATAAAATAATTTTAATTCAAAATATATTGAAAAACAAATTTCTTCTATCATATTATTATCATGTACATAATTATTTTTCTACATTTGACTAAAGATTTCAGAATTAGAATCGTTTTTGATAGGTACCTATTCACATACCCCTATCTTAAATATGGGTAATATGTATTACGCTTCCAAGCTGGTATTCTGTTCTTCTTACCTTTATGAAACATTTTGAAGTTTACTCTAAGACTTTGGTTGCAGGGTACGGCTGATAACATCATAATGTGCTCGGTGCTCCCCAAAAACATAAATTCCCCTAAATAAATGCTCATAATATTGCCATAAAAATATTTATCATAACTATATTTATTATAACTGCTTCTCATTACCTTACGAGCAAACACTTACCCTGCATACCTCGTGTGCACCCCTATGAGTATGATTATTGATCGATAATTTAGTACTCATATATTTTCGTCTTAGTAAACAGAATCACGCCAAAGGCCAAACATATTAAATCACAACAAATCCTTATGGATATCGATTCTCTGTGGTTTGTACTAAATTGTAATACTTTGTGTAGGTAGTAGGTAATAGGTATACACGAGACACATTTACAGGTAAAGAAATTAGTCATGTAAACCAATTATTTAAACATGTACTTCTAAATTATTTACCAGTAGTGCCTACTTTCTAAGCTAGAAGTGTAAATGCAACTGTTACTGTAGATAAATAAATAAACATTGAAATTATTAAAATAAATTATATTATTGTATTCTTTGAATTGAAATATTTAATGTTAAAAAATATGTATAAAAACAGAGTTAAGTAACATATTCTTATGTAGTTACTTACATATATTTTATAAATCAGATCATGTTTATTGTTTGTAATAGCTTTAGGGCATATGGGTACTACATTAAATAAAGACGGTCCATGCATAGAAAGTAAATTTAGGTAAATGTATAGGCATTTGCCAAAAAAAAAAAAAATATAATGATAATGAAATAGTGGGTGAAAGCACTTTCATCGAAAAATAAAAATACTTTCTCTGTTAAAAACGAATCGATAATAATGTTGCATAAGATTCGTATTACATAGATGCATAATGTGTATTAGAACTCAACATATATATATATATATAAGATATATATATATATATAAGAATATTATTATTCTACGCGCGAGTTACTCAGACTTATTTTAGGAAGACTAACTAAATAATATTATGTGTAGACAAAATTAAATTATATAATCGCGTTTTCACTGTTTTCCAACTTGATCAACTTGGGTTTGCAGGTTGCTGACCACCTCTGGAGGTACGTGGTCACCGAGGATTTCGAACAGGTTGATGGCCTGTGACCCAGGTATCGACTCGTATGCGACCACCTCTACGCCTTCTTGGACCTTCTGAATCTGAGCATTTTGTGGTATAAGATGTGTACTCTGTGCTTGTCTGATGGCTTCGTTTGAAAATATTTCACCATCTTTACCTCCTTGTGGCATTGCCAGGCACACAGCCATCATGCACGTGCCCAAAACCACAACGGTCATAAACAGATTCATAGTTCTAGTGGGGGAAAAAAATATATTTAAAAAAAACTCGTTATTCCGTGACCCAACACGCTTATAAAGTTATAAACACTGTTATTAGAATAGGTATAAAATTAAAATATATCAATATGTAATACTATAATAGGTACTATTATACAGTATATACATTATAATTGTATATTAACAGTCGTGTCAAACACTCTCTAAATTACTATATATTATATAACATTATAAACCCCCACTGATTTATAGATTTCATAATGTAAATCCTAGAAAAATAAAAATGTCAATGACGAACTTTTAAGATCAAGTGTACGACCCGAATTGAGTGAATGCACCTATATCAATTATATGAAATAAGTACTTAAAACTCATGAATAAAATTAAACATATAATATTATGGTATGTGTTACCAAATAAAAGTATATATCTACATATTATGTCTGCAGGGCGTTAACGTGAGAGGGACGCAGGGGGACTCAGTCCCCCTACCGTGGGCAGCGGTTAAAAAGCGTCCCCTTTAACAAATTAGGATTTTATACATTAGACATTATACGTAAATTTATGTATGGAACGCTTAAGACCATATGGTGACATTAGTCCCCTCTGGAATTTTTTCTCACTTTAAGCCCTGTACGTGACGTACCTAACTGATCCACTGTTAGATACATTATATACTACAAAGTGTTAATAGGGCGTCTCATCCCTTGCATGTGTTATCACAGTTTTACAATCATACAACTATTGTCCATGCCTCCATGGTACAAACTACAAGTGTACATCATACGAAATTTGAGTGTTCAGCACTTCGACAGAACCAATTCTATAATGTTGTTTTGTATTACCTTTAATATTAGAGTGAATTGATATATTATCTTCAAATTTATAGGTGAGAAAATTATCTGTGTTCGTACGTTGGTTTTTAACGATATTTTTATTTTTAAGCGAATTAAGAGTTGGTATGTAAAATATTCAAATTTAAAAATTCTTACACATTTAAAAAAAAATAAAATATCATAAAAACCAACTTACAAATATAGATAATTTTCTAACCTTTAATTTGTATAATTAGTCAATTCAATCTAACAACATAAAATTGGTTGTGGACGTAGGTACTGTGACATCTTCTTAGGTAATCAGTATAATAATTTCCGACATAAAACAATATTTATGAGAGAAGACACTTAATGATGTTCATTAAAAAATTACTATTAAACAAGCCCACATAATTTACCTTACCTAATTTATAAGTTATAAGTTTATAATTTTATAACTACCTATATACTACCTATATGCTTATAATTTACTACTTAGGCTCAGACACACATAAATTAAAGAAACATTTTTTATAATAAAAATGATGAAGTAATAATTATTAGTTTTTACAATTGTTTGCTTTTAAGAAGAAGGTAACATACACTTTAATCATCGATATAAAAAATATGTGTTCAATTTAAAAACCATAAAATATTTAAAAAAATAAATACCGTAACCATATATATATAGGAACATTTTATCAGTCAATAAAATGTATCTAAAAAATATTTATAATGCATTTAACTGTTAAATAAAATGAGAATTATTTTTTTTCTTAGTGATATTAACATATTTGATGTAGGTACTTATGATAAACTGTATTCTGATTTATGTCTATAGTAATTAATTTGGAATGTTTGAATAAGTGAATAGACATGGATATGATATATTTGCTGATAAATCAACTAACGGCTGCTCGAATTATATAGTTAAATTTACAATTCCAAAAATATTTGAAGAAATTAACAATTTTTTTCATGTTTAAATGTATTATTCTATAACAATCTTCATTATTATTATTATTTATTAAATATTTTTATATTTAAATATCAGTATTATCTATTACAAGAAAATAAATAAATATAGCTTACCTGAGTAAATAAAACTGTTGTTGTCGATGTGTTGACTCACGAGTCACAACACAATATGAAAGAACACAGTGCGTTTTATAAGAAGACTAAAACAAATCATATTATGTGATGCGAGTACCCAAGTGGGAGTATTCTGTCGTTTGTCAGTAGCGAATTGAATTACTTTCTCCGGGATAATTTATGAAAAACCTTTCATTAAATATAATAAATTAATACGCACGTGTCAGTGTCAGTGGATATTCATTTAATTTTGTTCGGTGCAAGTTTCCAAACAACTGAAGTGTTTTCAATATTGATGTGTTAAAAGATTGTTAAAAATATAAAACATCTTTTATTGGTAAAATAATAATTTCTAAAAATCATATAAAATTTTTTTTAACAATTTGATCGTTGTGCGCACGACCCGTTCCTAATTCATAAATACCCATCAATTATGGTAAAAAATAAAACATTGATGTAGCTCGCTACTTTACTTACCTAACGGCCCCTGGCTTTTTCTTTAATAAATACATAGATATTAGATATCTATGCTATACGAAATAGAGAACATTTTTACATTTTGCATGAAAAAAGTGAAGTTTTAATTTAATAGTATAGATACCTGTGAATAAATGTAATAAATTTATTAATTAATCAGTTATCATCGACCAAATGATTTATTATAATCACAGAATACTTTACTATATAATAGCTAGTGGACTATTTTTTTTTATCACAGTGTATCTCAGTGGCGTCCATAGGATTTTTTAATGGGGTGGGGGGCTTATAAATTAGTTACAATTTTATTTTTATTTTGTCCAGTTTAATAATTTCAGACATTTTTTTGAGTTGTAGGAGGTTGTAATTGAAAATGCTCAGTGTTTTTTTTAAATAATTGGAGAAAAAAAATGAAAATGTATTAAAATTGTCTGGTAACCAGCTTGGTTATACCGTCCTCACTTGGATTATATATTTGATTAATTTAAATTTTTTTTCTATAAATGTCAATAAAAAATAATTTATCCGGTCAAAAAGCCTAAAAATGTAATACGTACATTTTTATTTAGCTAAAATATTAAAGATACATAGGCATATTTTTTATAAGCATTTAAAGTTCAAATTTCGTCAAAACCTGCACAGTTAATTTGTACTTCAAAAGTTATAAAATATTAAATGTGTATTGCTATACGGCCAGACAATTTAATACAAGGTCTTTCATACAAGTAGTTCATACTTTTACCGAAAAATTACAGATAATTTATGAAAATTGGCATGCAAATACAATGTTTTTTAAAAAATGAATTTATTCTGGTAAGACATATATGTATATGAAAGTTACATCTTGCTTACTATAGTTGACAGTTGAAACTTGATAAATATTTTTTTTAAGTAATAATAATACGGGCAATGGGGGTAGGGCTTCAGCCCGTTTTCCGTTACCGAAAACAACAATCAAATATTTCTATTTGTTGTTGTGCTACAGTGGTCAATGTAGTTCTGTAATTTGAAAATACAAAAATATAATATACATATAGTATTTACCTTCTTAAAATGTACTATGACACTATTATGTCATCAATAAATATTATTTTCTATGGGGTTTATAAATTATAATAGATATTAACGTGGAGTAACAGTTTTCAACTTTTATTAAACACGTAGGCAGTGGCGTATTTACGGGGGGGGTCCCCGGGTCTGGACCCCCCCCAGAAAAAAATATAATATAATATAATTATTACATCGTAACTCGTATGTGTTTTTTTTATATTATAAACTTGTAGGTACCTAATATTTAGACCCCCCCACAAAAAATTTCAAAATACGCCACTGCACGTAGGTACCTATTTCAAATTTATGAGATAACTAAAAAACATGGTGTTGTCCGAATTCACCAGACATGTCTGAAGTCACCCCTTTTTTGTCTTTAGTAACAGAATCTTTGGTTCAGACATTTTTAAGGGGGCAAATATTAATATAATAATATAATAAGGAGACAAAGTCTACGCACGCCTATATGGGTCTACCAATATATATTATTTTTAAAAATGCTCCAAGTATAATAAATATTATTAGGTACATCAATATTACATATAATTCATATTTTTCTAAAACGATTTTTAAAAATTATTTTATATCCTTAGTGTTAGTTGGTAAGTATTTTTTTGGTAATTTAACGAACATAAATCCAAAAATATTGGTAAATTTTTATTAAAAAGTGATTTATATTGTATCCATTTAATTTTATCGCAATTATTGTCGTAAAATTATGTTAAGAACGTAACATAAATATAAAACAATAGTATTGGCATATTATTCTTGAAATCTTATTATAACAAAAATTAAATAAAAAATAATTAGATTTAGATAATAATTTAAAATACTTTACCGAAAAAAATTTAAACGGAAATTTACTAGATTCATATCATTACTTAGGTAGTATAAATATTTCAATTACTCAGAAAATAATAGTTAAAATTTTGATTTAGATAGGTACACCAACATTTTCAAGGAAATCATCCACCAAATAATTTTCAGTAAAAAAGGGAGTTCTCCTTTGAAAAATAGAAGTTTGTATCGCCACAGGATACTCCTTTTGCAGTTGTTCAAAAAATATCAGGAATTTGAATATAATATTTATGGTCTTTAGATATACTTAAAAATTCTGAAAATCAGAATTTGAATTAAATGTACGATGTACCATTAAAGTAAAAATGGTGGTGAGTAGGGCGAGTAGGCTGTAGCCTGTAGGCACGATTAAGATATTATATCTTTAATCGTGGTTACCACAGAAAATAGGTAAAACATACTCTGTGCGTTTACTATAATTATTTAAGTTGGTCACACTGGCTGTCCGGACGGTTACTTTTCAAAACTAACAATTCGGTTATCTCAGCCCTCGGGTAGTCGTCCGTATTTCCGTATATTTTGATTTATTCTTCATTGTAAAGTTGTTTGATTGTTACTTTTGTAATTACTAATTTGAAGTCGTTCATTCTTTGTGTGTTTTGAGTGCTTAGATATTTAACAAATATGTATTAGGCACCAATTGACCAATCATATTCATATATACATTTTTGTAAATATAGTTAGAGATATCAATTATCATCTACCCATCCTATCGATTCTTTGAATTTCTTTCCTCTCGGTAATTCGATTGACATTCGTAAATGTGATTTTTATATATCTTATGAGTTGTTTTATTAACTTTTAAGGTTGAACGGTGAACCATTTTAAAAACTATCACTTGCCTGGAATGCGTTTTGATTGACTATGATTTTGTCGTCAATAATGATACATTAACAACATTGTCTACATCTTACTGTTTCCACTGGATATATCAATTATATTAGCAAACAAGTAAGTAAATCATAAAAAATCTTATTTGAATATTAAGCCTACAGTCATCCGAAAAACTTATACATTTTAACATGTTTTATATTTTCATAAGATTAATTATAATTATATACCTACCTACCTGAAAACAATATCAATACAAATTAGAATTAATATTATTCTTATTACCTTGGTACCTATCTCATTTAATTTGAAACATTTATGAAGAACATTTTCATAGCAATTTGAATGTTCAAAATCAAATTATTTAGAATGTAGGTACCTATACTGATAATTAAGTAGGTAGGCCAACCCAGGTGCTACCAAGTTATAATCTATCACTTTGTTTTTACTATTGTTTATTTGTTGTTAATATTAAAGTAAACTTACTTATTGAATTTGTGGAGGATAATATAAACTGTCAGAGCAAAAAGTTTTTATTTTTTTCTAAATGAGTAATATTAGTCGGGTACTAAAATAATTAATTTTTTGAAAAATACATTTACCTGCCTAACTTGTTATAATAGAAATATTTGAAAATAAAACTCTGCTCTCAGGCATAGTTTATATTATTCTCTTCTACAAATTCCACGATAATATGTAAATTTCCTATAATATTAACCGTAGTAAGAATCCGGTACATACATTTGATATGTTACTCGACAATTACTAACAATATTAATTAAGATTATGTGTGTGTACTGTGTAGTGCTGTTAAAAAGGAAACCAATCTATTGGTAATCACTAATCATCAATTAAGTACAGTAGAATTTGCATATAAGTATAAAGAATTCACGGTACCTACAAATAAAATTCTTTGCACTGATCAATAAATTAGTCTAAATAAAAATGAGTAACATAATGAAATATTGATATATTATATTACTTTAAATTTACTTTTTTTTGGTTTCAATTAAATTATTATAAGTTAATCAAACCTTAGTATATTTTTGAAGTTATACTTCTTTACGCAGGGTAGTGAGGGGAAAAAAAAAGCGAACGGGCGGCCGTACGAACGCGAAAGCGTACATGTCCGTAAATAAATAAATATTGTCATGGTTGTTTTATTATATATTATAATATATATATATATTATATATTATAATCGGGCCATACTAATTAATATGAATAATTAATGATCGATTATTATTTATTTTTATTATTATTATTATTATTATTATTCACTCACAAATCTATTGTCTGGATAAAAACAATACTACAAACAATTATCCATCGATCTGTCGAATAAAAATATAAAAAAAATAATAAAACTATCAATAAAAAATAATTCCGGATACTTCTCTCATTTTTTAAATTAATTAATATTTTTTTCTTTCTTTTTCACTCACTCACGTGTACCATTCAAAAGAAGTTTAACTTCCCGCGTGCGTACAGGTAACACACATACTTTTGTTTTTAATTTACTTATTAGGTATTATGGTTTACCTATTTTATAAATTGTTGTAATAGGTATTTTAAGGTAAAAATCTACCATTAAAAAATATAATAATATTGAAAATATCCTACATTTGTAGGGACTCTTATATTTTGGTACCTACATGGTTAACAAAATAATATTTATAAAACATACTGATATTTTTGATAATTTTATTACAGAAATGTCAGGATTATTCTTGGCTCTGTTAAATTATGAAATGATGTGTAATTTTTTTGCCATAGTACCCAGGTTACTATAAAATATGTACCTTTCATAGGCCCAAATAGGGGGGGGGGCTGCTTAGGGGGTATTAGCACCCCCAATTTTAAAATTAGCACACTCTAATAATGTATGTGTTTATGTATCAAAACTTCTCCTTACAAAAAAAAAAACCAAAAACAGTTTATCATCAGACATGAGGGTATCGGAGTATAATGAATGAAACAATGAACTCGACAATTGTCATTTTATCGAATTCAAATCTATTTAGAACATAAATCATTATTTTCCAATATTTCTACTAAACTCGGTTGTTGTGGTCGGTTATATTATTATCAGTTATCACGTTCAGCAGAAAATCAGCGCTACGACTATAATATCTCTAGTATTTACTAATATGTAAAAACGTTCCCGTGCCCACATCTAATTCGGACCAAAACCTAATTACAATACCTATACGAATCATTTGTCAGTTGGTGTTCACTTATCACTTATGAGTTCCACGTTTCTGACAGTCTGTGTGATAGTGTATGCTGTATGGTATTATATAGTAGGTATAATATCCTATACAGGCTGCAACAGTAAACAGATAGAACTGACTTTTGGAATAACTTTTGTTCTAATCAATATTTATTATATTCTTTTATATACAATTTATAGCTACACATTTTTTTTTATTTTTTAACACTGAAAATAAAAAATTTTCAATTTGATTTCAATTTTTTTGACATATTCAAAATAGCCAATTTGTGAATCTGATTATAAGAACAATTTTGATACTAAAATCATTTTTCTAAGTCAAGTAGTTTATTTTTTAGAACTTTTGATATGTCAATATTTTTTTGATCAAATGAATTTGGAATGAATACTTAAGTTATTATAATAACTTTTTTCAAAATATTTGTTTTAGGAATTTGCTGACATGAGTATATTAATTCTTAAATTATTTACTAATCATATAATTTTAACAATTTTTGTCATACGTTTAAGTAGCTTCATTTTTTTTTTCTCATCAGGTCTGTCTGTTACACCTTGTATACAGTGGCGTGGCGTGGGTATTAAAAAGATGTAAGCAGTGAAATTTTTTTTCAAAAGTGATTGGAATATAGGTACTATACCTAAATACCTAATTATAAATTATGTATGAAAAAATGTTATCCTTTTAAAATTTTTAATATTTTTAAAAATATACTAGTTGTACAAATCAAATTGGAGAAAATAAAGAAATTGAAGTATAAATACTTCAAAAGTCTATTAGGCGAATGACAGTGACAGTGTACCTAAAAACGACTTCAGTCTACAACGCGTCGCCGCGTCGGGCTACGTACTGGTCGCTCCTTGTTTCTGGCGTAAGCAAAATCAAATGTGCTTACAAACGCTAGTTAAATACGTGACCCCCACTATGGCATTATAGACTATTCGAAAACAACAGTTGCGCGTAAGCAATTTCAGAATGTGTTACACTGTAGATCGTATTATGATTATGCAGTTAACATAATACAGAATGGATTAAAAATAGACCTACAATCGATGATTTTCTTAAAATAGTTGAAATTAGTAGACAGCGTACAACACAAATAAACAATAACAAAAACCACTACCAGCTATAACTTAAATAATTTATAAATAAAATTAAAATTTTAAAAATCATTTATTATGTACCTATTAGTCGTGTTTGATCAAATTTATTTTTTCTTTCATTTAAAGTGCAAGCAGTGCTTACAGTGCTTACATGCACGCTACGCCCCTGCTTGTATACTAATATTTATTTGTCATATTTTTACATCAAGTATACATCATATTATACTACATAGAGTAAACACTGAATAACATGATAGATTAAGTTATGTAATAAATTATTAACTATATTATGATCTATTTATAGTAGATATACTTTTAATAAGTAATATAGATCATATTATAATATTATATTTTAAGAACAATTATACATACTATACATTTATAATTAGGGAGGTATTTACTTGACAATTAGTAAGATTATTTGATTGCGTTTTAACAGTTTTAAATCCATGGATACTTGTATGTTTACTGGTTATTAAAATAACTCAAACCATCAGTAAGAAACCGAGTATTCATGGATTTCAAATTATATTTAACGCCATCATACAAACATTCAACTAGATTTAAGTTGAGTTTAAAAATGATACATTTCGAAGTGGACTTAAATTATTACTTGGTTTAATAGTAGTTGATTGAATTCCAGATAAATATTTTTCAATTTCTTTATCAGCTTGATAAATTAAATCTAAAGTTGGCAAAGTAACCATTGTTGTTGTTGTATAAACTATGTCTGGGATACTTGTGTATGTTCTTTTTGTTATAGTCAAAGATGGTCCATTTTGAATTGTTTCAAATTCGTCAGGATATTCTTTAGGATATGTAATTTTTTTAATAACTGAACGAATAGAGTCTTGAATTGGTAATAATTTTGTTTCGATAATAAAAGGAGTAGTTGAAGTTGACTCTGATTGAGGGTCGAATAGTTCATCATTTAGTTTTGAAGAATTGGTACAACTATTATTTACACACGATGCAGTATTATTTTGCTCTAATTCCAGAAAATTTGTGTCATTAAACATTTCAGTTGCATTATTTTTATTAACATATGCATTTTTTAGATAATATTCTATGTTTTCTGATATATTATTTTTATTTTTTTTTATCTTTGAATTGCTGAATGGTCTATTGAGTAATTCATTTTGGGGAGATTCTGTGGTTGTTTCTTTTATATTTGTTAAGGTTGTTAATATGGTAGGTAAATTTGTTGTATAAGTATTTCTTTTAATTTGTGTACTATCTGAATTTGAATCAAAGGGAATCTGATGTGTTTGTGTTTTATAGCCAAAGTTTGGTCCAAACATATCTGTTGTATCTTCTAAATCTGTAAATGTATTTTCTGTATTTATCTCATCCTCAATTTTTTTTTGTAGAGTGTCCATAACTAATTTATGAGGTGTACCAATTGTTGATTTATCGGGTGCTCTTGGTGTAGTTGCTTCCCTTGACCCTTCATAATCCATTTCACTTGTTACATCCATTTCAGATGTTATAGTGGAAAGTTCAATCATCGGTTTTTCTGTATCTAATATTAAATCATTTGGATTAAAAATTTCAACCAGAGTACTACTTGTTTCAGGTACCGAGTTACTAATTTCTTCAATAGCCGGTTCCTCTGTCAACCCTATAATAGTTTCAGTACCATTTTGATCAGTTATTATTACTGAATTATCAATATTTGTTGTAGTATCAAATAATTCTTCAAATTGAGGTACAATTTCTGAAGTTGTATTGTTTGCTATAAAGCTAGTATCAGTGGTTTCTACATTTGTTGTAAAATTATCTATTTCAAAACCTAAAAATGAAGTTTTTGAATTTTCAAAGAGATCACCCACAGTTACTAAATTATTAATATCATCTGATTTGTTGAAAGTAATATTTTTTTCAAGTAATGAAATTGATGTTGAAGCATCAAGTTCTTCAAAATAATTATTTGGTAATGAAGTGTCCCTAATTACTTTATTGGGGTCATATATAGGCACTGTTGTCACAAAATTTGGAACTGTAGTCAATTCTTGTTTTTGTATTTTTACTGTATCTCTTTTCCAAATGCTGTCATTGTAGTAATTCTGTTCTGTAGTATGTGACCAGTAATCAATATTTCTACTATTTGATTTCTTAGAATTCATTGACTCTTTTGGTTTTTGTTCTAAAAAAAATTAACTCATTAAATATGATTTTCAAATAGTATATCCACACATATATACCTATTGAAGTTGACGAGCAATTATCATATTTAGGACAACAATCTCCTGGTAAATAATATCCTTGACAGTCATTTCTAGTGTAACATACAATAGAAGTGCATACTATTTCTCCACCATTGCAAAAACACACTCTACATTCTGATTCATCAGATTTATTAATTTTTTCTCCATTATTATACTGTTTACCTTTATGTTCACAATCTATTTAACAAAACAAATATATTTGTTATTCTAATATTATTTAATTTTAATACTAAATGTCTTAACAAAGTCATTATGTACCACATTTATACTTTGGACAGCATTTATTTGGTAACTGAATTGTAATACAACCAGTATTTATTGGACATTTCATCATTGAACATACAACATTTGGTGGATGACAAATACATTCTTCACATGGACCGGCTCCGGGTGTATATTCACCTTCTCCATATTTTGAACCATTGACTATACAGCTTGAATTAGCTAGATTTTTGTCATATTCGTTTTCGTGTGCTAAATGTTCATTCATAATATTTTCTTGATTTGAATATGACATACTTAATGGCACTGAAATGATAATTATATTTTAATTAGAAATAAAATAGCCAACTAGTATACTATATAAACTTCCTTTTCTTTTTTCTTCATTTATTTATCTTGTATTAATTATTATCAATATATTATATACAGACAATTACAGAATATTTACACTAACCGATTATAACCAAACTATCAATAAAATGTACAATAGAATGCAATTATTAAATCAATCTGTAGCATTTGTGTTGCATAAAAATTCCTTTTAATAATTATAATATTGCAAGCAACCGATATTAAAAATTGCTATGTATTTCTATATAATATTTTTATATTCATTACTATTTATGACATGAAGAAAAACAATTTCAATGTTGTATAATACTATTATAAAAACAATTACTTTGCATAACTGAACACACAGACAATTTTAAAATTAAATGGACGATTTTCAAGACTCAATCTTTCTAGACTAATATTAATTAGCCAAAATAATATTTTTCTCTCACCTCCAAATACCACAGTATTCAATGTCAAGAAAATACTTGAAACAATAATCATACATTTCCATCTTGAACTTATTAACTTATGTCTCATGATGTTCCTATAATAACAAAAAAGAAAAAATATCATATTCAATTACATAATTGTTGGAAAGTATAATTTATTCAATAAAGAAATATTTAAATTTAAACTAGGATCAATGGTAAACTAATAAATATCTAATAATGTTTTAGAATATTAATATTATTTAATTAAGAAATAGTAGTAAATTATTTTAGCTTTCGGCCCAACTTATAATCTTTGATTTTATTACATTTTTTTTTGAAAATATTTATGTAGTTTATACTTTCTAACATAATTTGAGATTATAACACTTATTTTCTCAAAAACCCAGTTCAACTCTTTATAATAATTCAATGTATATTTATATCAAATCATTTTAATATTAGTATGTAAAAAATTTTATAATTTGGATTTTTCTGTGATATTTAATATCTTTATAAAAACATTTATAAATTATCATTACTTGTATACTTGTATACTGTAATACATATTTATAAATTACTTTATACACAAAAAAACAATATTGGTTCTTAATTGAGATATCAATATTGTTTGTATAACCAAAACATTCTAACAATACCTATGTATAAATCGGTACCTACTAATCAGTTTCATGTGTCTTTTAACCACCAGCTGGTCACTAGTCTTTGTGTTTATTGCTAAACATTAAACAAAGTCTGTTTTTAATTTTAAATGAAAATTGTACATTAAGAGATTTATGCAGTACACATTTCTAATATTGTAAATAAGGTTTAAGAGGTAAAATAAATCAATTTTAAGGTGTTTTTCGAATTAGTATTTTATTATTAGTAATCTAAATACTTTTTACACTAAAATATCAGTCATATATGATAATTAATTACACTGAAAATAGTTAGATATAGTAGAATTAGTTTCTTTGTATCAGGTAAATCTATAATTTAAAAATTGTTTTTGTTTTTATCTTTTACTATCGTCATTCATTATAATATTGTATATTGCATTCTGGCAGCTTTATTTTGAGATGATCAATTGTTGCTTCTGGTTCACTTAAAAATTGTAAGTTTTTCAACTCCAAATATTTTAATGCCCTGTAATTCAAATTATTAATTAACGTGGATTTTATTGAATAAATTAATCCTATCCTTACTGGAGTTGTTCCAATGACTTTATTCCTTGATCAGAAACATTTATACAGCCATTAATTTTCAAATTGGTCAAGTAATCTTTCAAGATATTGAGTTTACTTAATGCTTCATTATCAATCGTGTGACATCCAACGAATTCCACTTCAGAAATATTTTTACAGTTTTCTATAAAATTATCATTTATGTAAGTCATTAATAACAACCAAAAATAAATGTTGTGTTGCAGTAATTGAGGAACCTACTAAAATAATCAAATCCTATATGTGAGATTGAAGCTTCTTTTCCAGCATAAACTTGTTCTATTAGAAACTGTCCGAGGTTACATGATGTTATATTAGGTAAACAATTGTAATGACTGACAAACTCTTTACAACCTTTCCATCTAACTTGTGCACCATTTTTCATAAGCCATTCAGCACATGCCAAGTTAGGGCCAATTTCCTTGATACGATCATCATCAAAACTTTTTTTAATAAAAGAACAATTATTATAAAACTAAATAAGTTAAATACATAATCCTCATCATTTAATTTTATGTAAAGGCACTTGCCGGTTAAATGTGTCATCAATCCATTGCCATAATAAACGTTTATTCATTCCAATTGTATTTATTTTTAAAAATTGAAATTGTAAAGTTTTTAACATCTTCATCTCAATCTATCACTATTGAGGATATTGCGCAATAAACTCTAATTCTTGTTATTTTCAGTTAAATGAGTGACAAATAATAATAGCATTGATTTTAAAAACAACAGTAATGGTCAATTATAAGTTTAGAAATCATAAATTCACATAATATTATGGCATTATTGTGCATCTATGACCTATGTAATAGGATGTTTGTTTGTTTGTACCGCGGACTAAGATCTGGTTTGTACTTTGTTAAATGATAATATAAACCAGAGAATCTGATATGTAAAATTGTAAATACTAAATAAATAACAGACAAACATCAGTGTGACCAATTGATATTCTCCTAGCAAATATAAAATGTATAAAAATTTTATATTTTTAAAAAAAAAAATAGGTATTGATGTCGTACGTGATCTACCAAACTCAATTATTAGCGTTACGCAATCCACCGAAAAATAATATTGAATTACGGAATTATTTATTATACATTAATTACTCGAATAATATGTTCATATACTATAATATTTTATGATATATTGTTTCTTTTATTGTTATTATCACTAGTATAATTTATACATAACTTTAGTAATAATAATATTATATTACCACTATATTATGCAGTCTACTATTCACTTAGGTACTATTTTTTTAAACTAAAAATGTAGTATTCATATCGGTTAGAAAATCATAAAATTGTTTATGTTCATAACCGTTATAAGTGGTTATAGAAAATCAAAGTAGTTTGGTTAGTTAAAAAACTGTATTTAATTAAAAAATTGTACATTTGTAATTGAATAATTTTACTAATTTACGTATACCTAACTACCTATATGGTTATATTTTGAGGGCCTTTTAAACTAAGATGCTCGGTAGGCGTTTTAGAGTCCGTCCGACGCTGCACTTCAATAAAAATGGACAATGTTCGAGTTCATTATTAAATATTAATAAATAACACCACTAGAACAAGTAACTAGTAAAATATTAAAATACGTAGTTCTTACAGAACGGTAGTACTTACGTCAACTAATTATAACTCTCCGTGTATTACCAGTTCTCCATATTATTATAGGTAGGTAATTAATTGTATCTTATCGTATGAATTGGGTTATAATACAATTGTATATAGGACAGTCTTAAACGTATCGTACCTGATTATCGATCGGGTAAAAGTATCAGTGGCGTATCTACGAGGCTGTTATTGTAGTCATACCCCCTCCGACCGGTACAGCATTTCATACACAATACAATTAATTGTGTATAATAATATGGATATTTTAATATATCATGTGTATACTGAATATATTTATTAAAATCTTTATACCCCCCCTCCCGGTGAATAAATCCTAGATACGCTACTGATGGGTAGTTAAGGTACGGTTTCGTTTCCGCAGTTGACTGCAGCAGTCATACAAAATACCGGTGCAGTCGACTGCAGAGTACTGGTGCTCAGACCAGTCTTGCAGTCGACTGCTGCAGTCAACTGCGTTAACGAAACCGTACCTTTAGGTATACTTACACGTTTTTTCTATGTCGGGAGTTTTGGTAGGTCGCGTACACCACTACCATAAATTGATACAAAGTAAATATGGTAAAAAAATTGTGTTTAGTGTGTACGTTGATAAAAAAACGAACAATAACTGTAAGGAAAAAATGCACTAAACCTTAATAATATGCAAATATTATATGCACTCAAATTTAAGTAACTGAAAAATTAATTATTTTAATTAATAACTCGCATATAACTTAACAGGTAATAAATTTACTTAACAATTCCTTAATAATTTAGTTCTATGACGTATATTTACAAAACAAGTATTCACAAAGTAAGTTTGTATTCATTTTAACTGGCTTAATGCTGTTGAAAACCATCAAGTTCAAGGCCCCGAAAGAGCAGTGATTTTATGTTATATACGTAGAGATGCAAGAGGGTCATTCTACTGTTGCTATTAACCTATTAGTTACGGTGCACGGTTTTACACCTGACGTGATATTTCTGTTATTTTTTTAGATATTTGTCATTGTTTTGGAGCGATTTGCAGTCAAATATTACGTGCCCATAATAAAAGTATTCCGACAATTAGGTATTATTCCAATTTCGTGTCTCGTCCTGATTTTCCTTATTTTATTACGAGCAATAAAATAATGTGTACTAGTTTTAAACTTCTATAGTTCTATATCGCTATTTGAATTATGCAGATTTGGTAATCGGATATATTTTTTAACCATTTATAACTAATAGTATACCTAACAATATACATTATAAAAACAGAAACTATTACAAATAATTAACATTAGATAAATACAGATTTATAACAATAAAAATAAATCGTATTGATTTCTGATTATACTAGAGTCGTGTATATGTGTAATGTATGCGATGTATATAACATAGAATATTTTTGCAATTTGTCTAGTCAAAACGAAATTATATAATATTTAAAAATAGTTATTAAATGAATTAATTTATTATTATTAATGTTTGACACTTTCACAGTGATATTAATATCAAATAACATTCTTTTCCGGTAATATGGGTGATAAACCGTGATAATTCTTGGCTAATAAGCGCTATTTTGGTATTTGTTTAAAAAATATGTTGAGTTTTTTTTTATTTATATATATTTTAAATGGTAACATATTAAGTAATATTTATCCTTGAATATTAAAGTAATGGATAAGTGTACATTTAATTTCAAATTTAAAAAACTACTTCATTATTATACTGGTAAATAAAAGCATGTATTAGTTTATTACTATTATTAAAATAGGTATGTAGTTAAATGTATTAGCATTTTTAAAAAAGACAGTCTTAATTTCATTGATTAATAATATCCATTGTTATAGTAAAACACCAAAATACTATGAATTATTTTTTTTCATTTAATATTACTATGTTTGCTTCTTGTTTATTCTAGACAACAATGAATTCCTTTTATTACATTTTATAAAACAACATTGATTGAAACAAAAATAAATAAATAATTTTCAGGTAGGTAATCAAGTAGGTATTTAACTACTGCGATAAGTTAATTTAACTATACTTGACGTTTAATATATTTTTTATATAGATATGTGAATATTTGTTTTTTAATTAGTAAATTAACAGACCATTAATAGACACTTTTTATAGTTACTAATATATTCATATTTAATAAGAATAAGTTAAAATATTATTTAAATTAATGTTTGTACTGTTACGCTTGCAGTATTTTCCTCTTTTATCTTTATTAGACAGCGAGATAAACTGTATAATACACGGTTAATAATATTACAAAATATGTAGTGGCATTTGTATGTTTTTTGTAAGTAACTTAATTTAGTAAATATGTTCATTGCGAATTGATAAAATAAAATATTTTACATTTTAAGATTTAACAATTAACATTTAAACTTTTTTCAGTTTTGTGTTGTAAAGTAAAAAAGCATAATAAATATGTTTATTTATGAAAGCCACATCAAAAATTATACATTTATAAGAGTTGAATTAGGTATGCATTAGAGATAAATGTAATTTGACATTTTTAATTCCCCCAATAACGTATAATACTTAGTCTTACGACTATTAATTTTTTTAACGCTAAATTATTATTATTATTGGATTGCGAATGAATCTGATACGATTAATAAAATTATATTTATACATTTACTTATACAAAAATGTAAAAAAAAAATCATGATTTTAAATATTTTCAACATAAAAAAAATACCAATATTTTTGTATAATATAATAATTCAAATAATAAATTGCTACTCACATTTTTGATAGATGATCTTAGCCTATTAAATATTCGGTTAAACGTGAGTTAGTTGTATTGGTCTCCTGTTACTGAATAACGATCTGAGGATCTATCTACCTAATGTTGTCGAACAATAAAAAACGAATCGATTCAAATGTAGAGCCTCCAGACTGAAAATCACATCACGCATGCGCAATTTTACACTCGGAAAAAAACGATTTATTTAGTGTAACAAAAACATTATTGACATTCACTAAAAAAGTCTATGGATAGTTAATTTTATTTTTTATCAATTTGATAATATTTTAAAACCCGTCTTATGTTTGTGTTATTAGTAAAACAAGTATAAAACAATGTAACTACAATACTACATAACATTAAAATATAATGCCTGTACTTACTTTACAATTACTACGGTATTTGTAGAACATATTAGGTACTGTGTATAACTTTTTAAGTTCTCGTATTTCAAAAAAAAGCAGTAACTTTACATTCCGCTAAATGCTGTCTTTTTGGTAACAAGCGATTAACCAAACAATAAAGTTGGTTTTAGTTAATTTCAACACAATCTGCACAATTCTACTATACGATAAAATTGTATATAATGATAAATAATTATTTTTTGTTACGAAATTAAATCTATGAAAAAATTGTTGTGTTACAAATAAATATTCTGAAACGAACCACGGTAGAAATGATCAGACTGTGCCCTTAGAAATTGTCTCATTACGAGGGTGGTTCTCCTTAGACACATTCAAACAGTATTATCGATCATCATTTCGGTACTACTATGTGCCATGCACCGAGGTTTAAACTTGTGTCCCAGTGTGAAACAACTTGGCAAAATATACCATGTCATTTTTATTACTCTTTTACGAATTTCATATTTTGGTTATGTAAATTAGGAATTTAACTAATAACTCAAATAGGCAACAAAAACTGTAGAGTTTTTTTTTTAATCATTTATGTTTACAATGATTGGTCTAATAAATCGTTAAAAAAATTACTTTGAAATTATTTGACCTTCTTATTGTAAGCCCTGACACAACAAGGTCCTGACAAAAAAACAACACAAAAGTACTTCCAAGATTAATTATTTCTATTAAATTTAAAATTTTATTGAAATTATTTTTTTTTATTCACACACTAGACCGCATTGTTATTTTCAAGATAAATGTTGGTATTTGAATTGTTGTATACCTACTCCACATGTTATCCGTTCCAAATAGGAATAAAACTAAACCAACTGATAATTGTTGTTTTTGTTGTACTTAAAAATATTAAATACGAAAAATTGTTCTAAAAAAATTTAAGTTTGATTAGGTATACTAAGAACTTAATAAATCATAATTAGTCAGCTATAAATATATATTGTTATATTTTAAAATAATATAAAATTGTTTCGACAAAATAAGAATGGAGTGATGGTAAAATTATTTTATCTCCACAAGAATGTTATATATTAAATCCCCTCCTCTAGGTATACTTAAAAATAATTACAGATAGTAAACTATTTTTTCCATTATGGATATATTTTAGGCATATCAAGATTTAAAAATTATAGTTCCATATCCGAGTTTAAAAAATAAAACAGTCTAAATAACTAATCTATTATTTTATGGTGTTATCAATTCGTCATATTAGAAACAAAACTTCGATTTTTGGAACAAAATACGATTACCTATAGGAATATTGAATATTGAAATATGAATATTATAAAAAAAATATATACTAATAATATATAAATTAACTTTATTGTTTAGCTTATAACTCTTGTTGTTAATGATTTTAATGGGAAGGAGAAACATATTAAGTCACCTCAAGAATAGTTTATTATGGGGTGGATTGTTTAAAGCTCAATATGCGTTTTCAATACTCATGTTTTACGTTCTAATTCGTGCAACAATCTAAATTTACAATTGAAAACTATTGCAATGCGGTTCTCGTAAAAAAAAAATTGTAATGCTGTCCTAGAATGACGTTACAAATAAGTTTATTATTTCTGCCTATCACTACGCGTAGGTACTTAACAAAGCAAAACCACGTTCCACATACTCCTAACTATTGCTACAGTTCATATTATGTATGTCGAATTTGACGTATTATAAATTTTATATATTTATTTATAAATAAATACATGTATTTTATGCATTATTGTCTACCTAATATTTTAAGTTTGTGCAAAGTGTTATTTTTTGAAATATTGTAAAATTAATTACAACGGAATAAATCGTTTTGCTATTAGGTCAATAAATCTTTAGGTTGTTTAATTGATACGATAATTTACACGATAAATTTAATACAATTTGGAGCGAGCCAGAATTGTACTATTCTGGATCTTTGAATGGCAAAGCAACAAATATCTTAAGGCACATTATTATACTGAAAATACGTATTATAAAATAATAAAACCAATTTTAAATTTTCGTATGTAATTTTTTTTTCAAATTGTCAGTGTTTCCGGAATTAAATAAAACGTATAATAATACTGGAGTATTGAATACTAACTTGAGTATTCACTGTCACAGTTAATATTTATCTCAAATTCTATGTTTTTAATAAAATACTAAATCTTTAGGTTAGGGACGCAAATAATTTTTTTAAGCAGTAGACTATGTGTAGTAGACATTCTTTCGTATTTGAATTACTTTTTTTCTGATCCATGCACCATGTAATACTGTAATGTATACCTATAATATATATAAAACAATAACGAACCAAATATTTTATTATTATGTCTGAAACGTCATTAATACAATATTGAAATATGAGTATCTCATGAGACCTATGCTCTATTATTAGTTTTTACCTATATACCTTCTTATCTTAATCCATATTTTTATATCGACATCATTTATATGTTACGATAACTTGGAAACATAATAATTCTCAGCTTATAATGATACTTGATTTAGTATCATTGGTGTAACAAATATCTATTTGAAAAATGAACAATAACTACTCAATTGATATATTTTTTTATAATTAAAAAAAAAAACATCACAATATCTAATAATAAATGCACATTTATAGTAGTACATAAAAATTTATATAAAATACAATTTTCAGACACGGATTTTTCTCCTTCAAAAACAATGGATCAATTATCATTAACCATGAAATATGATGAACATGTCAGACATATGTTGGCTTTATTGGACACTACTGTGGAAAGAGGTACATACTTATAACAAATGTGTATTAATTTTATAATTGTTTTGTCCTGTATACATTTAAAAATACACCCAATTAAATTATCAGTGGTTTCATACTGACATATGTATTTTAATCTTTGGAATAAAAACAATGCATGAGACATACTCTACCTAAAAATGTTTCACTAAATTATCAAAATCGATGAAATTTAAACACATATACCCATACTTTTATGTTAAAACATAACATGATGTACCACTATTTGTTTTCAGTATACATATATCTGTCAATTAGTATGTGTTCTTAGGTATAATTTTTTTAAGATTAAAAATGTATACATATTTATATAGACTATAAAGCCAAAATCATATCATTGGATGCACTCAGTGTACAATTGAAAGATCATGGAAGTGATAAAGAAATAATGAAGAAAAAACTACAGGAAATGCGTATTGAGTGCGAACGACTTATGCATAATCTTAAAAGTTCCAATCGATTATTAGATGAAGCAAATAAAGAAAAGAGGCATGCTCAAGTTGAACGAGACGATATGGTAAAGAGTTACATTTGGATAAATGCCTTATATGAATTAATGTAATATTTATTGTTATTAAAACTTTATATAGGCCCAGAAACTTGGAAATTTCTATAGATTATTTAATAGCGCTAATAATTCTAACATAAATCGATCTGGTTCTCCAGTATTTCAATGTGAAGCAGAAAGGTTTGATCAAATACCACGTCAAGATACAACTGGTAAAATAATTATAATCGTAATTTATAGTTACTTCATTTAAAATTGTATATTCCAGAATCTGTATTATCAGACATAAGTTATTCAAGGGTAGAAGACAGTTTGGATTCTGACAAGAATTTTGAAGATGCTATGGATCGCTGGGAACCTGAAGTATTTGATACTGTAAAAAGAAAACGAACATCCGGTCTTTCAAACCCCAATGGAATGAGGAAAGAAATTGAGGTAAAATCTATATTATGCTATTTAGTTAATATTTTATTTTATGAATTAAGTATTTACAAGTCATATGCTTGGTTTACAGACTACTACAACTACCTCGTCAACTCAAATAGTTGCAACCACTACTGTTACAATGCAGCCATTCACAAGAAACATCAGTGCAAAATCTGTTATTGAAACCAAACCATCTAACCTTTTTCCAACACCCAGTGCACCACCTATATCTGGTAAGATATCAATAATAATTTACAAACAATCACATTGTATTAACAATATAACTAATATTAAATTTGATTTTTGAATAGACTCTTTGGATTCATTTGACTCTGATCCATATGGTAACGAAAATAATCAAAATATTCCCAACACAATACATTCAAGTTCAGCACTAAATAAATTGAACAATAGAGCTCACAATTTCACTCAAAAAAGTGTTATCATTCCAGAAATATGTGGCCCATGTGGGAAAAAGTAATTTCTATTTTTTATTAAATATATATGTTATTCACTTTGTGCTTAATATTGTTATTATTATTGATGTATCTAAAAGATATTCTTATCACTATTTGCTAAAAATAAGAAAACATGTTACAGAGTTAAATTCAATCGTGTCGTGGTGAAATGCTTAGACTGCAAAGCAACAGCACATTTGGAACACAAAGATAAAATTCCTTTACCGTGTATTCCTGTAAAAAGTACACCGAGCAAAAATGGCGTAAGTTTTTATCAAAATATAATTTTATAGTTATTATTGTTAAAAATTGGTCTACATAATTGGTAATTGGTACTTTCGGAATATTTATAAAACATTTTTGCTAAAATTAATTTTGTTTTTTGTTATGATTAAAAAAAGAATATCCATAGATACTCGTAATTTTGACAAAATATTTATGTTAGTGTTTTCTAGACATGATAACATTTTCAAAATATTTTGGCTCTTTTGAGCAATTTATATTTATTCTACAAACCTATTCAGTATTTACGCTATTCTATGGTACCTATCGCCGCCATTAGCTGAAATGAAAAGTGGTATATCAATTTTTTGCAAAAATTATTCAACCTACAAAATTAAGAAAATACTTGGAACACTAATTCATAATAAATTTAAGTATTAATATTGAGTTCGGTTAGAAATAATTATAATTTATATCATCTCTTGAGCAAATTTATTTTAAATATTCTAATTAGTGGTGAGACATAATAATACGTGAATTATTTTACTGTTTTGCTTATAAATATTAGTCCATATTTATATTGTGTAATGATTAATATATTTTTCATAAATATTGTATTTAATGTAAATACTAATAATAGGGGCGAATAGCTGATTATTCACCAATGGTTAATGGCCGCCCAATGATACCTGCATTAGTCATCCATTGTGTGAACGAAATTGAACAAAGAGGATTTGATACTGTTGGATTGTACCGAATACCTGGCTCAGAAAAAGACGTTAAAGCACTGAAGGAAAAATTCCGTAAAGGAGTACCTAATTTGTCTGATGTCGACATACATGTTGTGTGCGGTTGCTTTAAAGATTTCTTGAGGACTCTGGATGATCCACTAATTCCCCACTATGATTGGAAAACTTTTACTGATGCTGTCAGAAATTCAAAAGATGAAACTGAACACAGGCTATATCAAGCCATATCACTATTGCCACCGCCCAATCGTAACACACTCGCATACATAATGTTGCATCTTCAAAAGTATGATATTTTGTGTTAACTTGGAGTATAATGATTATAATATGTATATATTTTATTTAATCAATAAACTATTTAGAGTTGCAGCAACACCCGACTGCAAAATGCCTGTTGGAAATTTAGCCCGAGTATTTGGTCCAACAATTGTTGGTTATTCAAGCGAAGTTTCTGAAAATCTGTATTTTGATTGCGAATTGAGTAATAAAGTAAGAACAAAAAAAAAATATTTATTTTATACTACTTATTTATCCTAAAAAATATTGATTCAATTTTTTATTATACAGGTCGTTGAAGAAATGCTAAAACTATCACCTGACTATTGGTCAAACTTTTTAAACAATTTAGTACCTCTGCGTGCACAAAATACACCTGTGAAACGCACTTCTTCCCGTCCATTACAGCCAACTCATACTCCAATGTCTAAAAACAACAGAATTTTTGGTTCTAGGTTAGTTAATTAAAACTATTTAAAATTCAATTCAATTTTATGAAAACAATAATTACTTCTAATTGCAGCACAAAAAGACGATATTTGGAATCTCCGCGATCAGTCAAGGCTGCTAGAATCAAACAACTTGAATCAAAAAAAAAATAATTCTTTAGTGATATTTGGTAATTATTTTTTTTTTGGTATTTCAGCTTCTGTTGAATCAAAAATTAAATACAAAACTATACTAATTTAATTTATATATTAATACTAAATTAAGTTATCACAATACTTATGTTTATTAATAAATTTATCTTTAATTTTTCAAACTAAACTAATAAAGCTGATGAATGTTTATCAGTTTATTTTTTGTCACATTTAGGAATTTTTTTAAATGTGCTAACAATAAACACATTTTTACATTACTGTATTTTTTTCAATCATTGTTTTCAATTTTTTATAATCTGTGATTTTCTTTTTTACTCTAATTTTAATTTATTTACCTACGAACAAAATATATATTTTATTGCTTATAACTTATATAAAAAAACCGAACAATATATTATATATTAAGTCTACAATAAGTAATGAACAATTTATACGTATGTTTAAATTAACCTTAGTCTTTAATTTTTTTATATAATATATACCAGCATAATAAATAAACATACAATATTGGTATTTAATGTTATTTTTTATTATTATTAAAGTTAGCCCTGGATTCTGGGTTACTGGCTTAAAAATAGTTACTTTTATTATAATTATTTACAATTTATTAAATGTAGTTTTTTTAAATTAAATTATGTGTTTTACATAGATTTATCAATTAATATGTCTATGGTATGATGTTGTGTTGTGTGAATTTTAAGTTTGTGTTAGTGATAGAAAGCTTGAAATAAATGGTTAAGGAATGAAGAACAGTGTTTGGAAGAGGACAAATGATAAGACATAGGGTTATAGGAGAGACATTTGTGTATGATTTTAGAGGAAGTAATCGATAAATTTATATGTTGCAATGTTTAAAGATGATGATGAGGGAGGGAGTGGGTGAATGAGTTCAACTTGATCCATTCAAGTACTTAGGATTCCCGGTACAAAATAATGGTAAATGGGTACTTTCATCAAAATTATGTTGGGACAGAAGAATACCATTGAGAATTGAGATTAAATGTTAGGTTTTATAATGAAGTTGGGTGGACAGTCATATTGTACGGATCGGAATGTTGGGCAGTTTATAATAAAACAACAAGGTGAGAGTGAAGCATAGATGACTCGAGATGTGAATGCTAAGGTGTACGGAGTGACTATAGGGACGATAAGATAATACATTATATTTAAGAAAATCATTAGTGGTAATGTAAGTGGCACCAATAAAAGACAAAATGGTGAAATAAAGTATTCAAAGTTTTAGGCCTAATTAGGTTTGACAAATCCAACATTTTCTTTGTTTCTGGTCAATTTGTCCACTAATAATGTACTGTTAAGTTAAATATGGACAGTTTCATTGAAGTTACAGGTGCTATAATTTTCAATAGGGAAAAAACCAACTTTGATTTAGACATTGGAGAATCTTTAAAACTTTGTCATTTTGAAGAATATTATACAATAATATTGTATAATATGGCTACCTATATTAAGTTATCAAACGTTTATTAGTACTAGAGAAATAATTGTTCTGTCAATCAATGATTAGTTATTTTTCAAAGTCGTTGTTGAACTGTAGAGACAGCATATTCCAGACTTTGGACTGTACTCAAGACAATAATACTTATTACTGATGCAATTTTGCTTGAAACCTTCGATGTGCATTTAATTTGCCTTGGTCTGTGCTATGTTACCGATTACAGAATTGACAATTAAAGTAATAGAGTTATTAGCAAAGTAAAAAACAAATCAAATTACCGTATAACAAAACAGTAGTCAATTACACATTATACAGTAGCCAGTAGGTAATTGGAAAGGTTTCCAAAACGTGATAAACATAGTGAAGAAACTAATGAAAAAAATTTGATATTTAAACTGTGATATGTGTGATTTATGTGATAAAGATTCCATGATTTTTAGAAAACATCTTTCAGATTTTAAATAGTGGATTGTAAATTTCAGAGTTCTAAATGTGTACCTAATATTTGTCTGATTCACATTTCACATAAAAAATGATATTAGATTTTGTATAATAGTATGATTATGAATAATTTAGTAATTATATAACATCAGACTATCTAAATGAAAATTTGAAAATGTGATACAATATTATGGCTTAAATGCATCAAAACCAAAAAAATCACTGATTTTTTATTCTTATTTATAACACTAAATAATAAAGTTTTTTTTTTAAAACTATTATTTTGTAAATGATTTTTAACTTTCATTAAATTCTATAAAAATATATAGATATCTTGCCAAAATTTTAGTAGATTATCTGATTAGATCACTATCAAGATTATAAACAATACAAATCGAACATAACCACGACAAAAAAAAGCAACTGGCAGGCAAATTTTGGGAGGACTTTAGCGCCCCCGAGTTAAAATTTAGTACCCCTTGTATTTTTGATCCAACTATTATTATTATTTATTTAAGTGGAACACTATAAAATTCATGTTTTCAAATTATGAAATATAGGTATACCGAAAAAAATTAAAACTAATAACTATTTTGGTCATGAATCATACTATTATTTATTAGATAATTCGCTATAAATGATTACATATTCCTATAACACCTTGCTTGTTTTAATTACATTCAAATTGTATTATCATTCGAAATTCAGCCACAAATCATAAATTCATGGATATGGATGGATTCGCCATTTATTTAGTGTAATACGTTGCTTATTTTACTAGACGCCCTAGAAATGTTGTGATGCAACCAAATATACATATTATAAAGCGCGCATTATTACTAATATTTACATAGGAGAAGAAATGTCCGAACTGCGTTATAACTTATAAGTATTATAAATGCATAAGTTTATAAAATTATAACGGCTCCGATTCAGCGGTAGACACTCGAAACCATCTGACCATCAATTTGTTTAAATATGATGCAACCAATTTTAAAGTTTCATAATTTTTGGTAGGTAAAGTTTTACGAATTAGAGAACAGTTAGCAGTATTCCTGAACAGCGACTCATATTTTTATACTGATTTTCATTGGAGAAGAAATTACTAAACATCTAAACTGCGTTTAAATTGCTCCAATTTTCACGGTAGACATTCGAAACAACACGTATGCAGCCCATTCTGTTGTTTAATAAATAATAATTATTTTTACGTATCATACGTATCTGTGATTGGAAATTAGAATATAGTAAGATCGGAATCTATAGAATTATAAAAAAAAAAATCTGAAAAATAATATATGTCTGGGAGGATAAGCCCCTATGGCCCCTCCTGGATTCGTCCCTGTGTATAACGACAATTTTTTCTCAAATAGCTGTCAATATAATAATATTGTATACAACCTAAGAACGTTTGAAAAGTATTATTGCCTACAAATTCCAATACCTAGTCAAAAATAAAAATTTTAAATTTAAAAAGTGTCCATAAATAAGTAATAAGTAGGTACAAAAGTCTAGCTTTTAGCCTGTAGGGCATTAAAGGCTTTTAAAGGGCCATACAATAAACAACATAATATGAATTATTAATGTTCTACATACGAATTGGATTTATACAAACACATTTAGTAAGCCAAACTATGATCAATATTTTAGTTAGTAATTAATTTTTATTATAATGTGTAAATATGTGCAAGAAAATATAGGAATAAAAAATTATCAATATTTCTGAAAATCACTGTATTCAATTAACGGTAGTACGACACCAAAGTGCTATACAGTATTACAGTATACACCGTGCAAACTACAATTTAAACACTAGAACTATTCTTTTTTTCTGTATAGGGCAGTTATGATAGTTCAATAATTAACAGTTATTATGTAAAAATGTATACCTAATATTTAGGCTTCAACACTCGTTACAAGCAGTTTTTGAGCATAAATAAATAACAACAAATTATATTATTTTACTTGTTTGTATATTATCGATTTACATTTTTTTTAAAAATAAAGTCATTTAGCAAATATTTTAGTTTTAAAAAAGAGAAAATACATGTTTCTTTTATATTAATATTCATTGTATAACGTAAATAATAAATATTATAATTGTATAACATTTCACAATTTCGCATTATTTTTTATTCAAACTTAAAATTATAATAATCTTTATAGTTTAAAACACTCTAATATAATGATTAATTATATAATATAATATATTGTTTTTTTTGCAAATTCAATCACTCCAAATAACTATATAATAAATTATTAAAAATAAGATAAAACTATTAAAAACACTCTAAAAATAATGGTTGATTAAAATATTAAATAACTTTATCCAAGAAAACTAGGCAAGAATACAATATACATAAATATATATTAAAAAATATTAAATTTCTTAAAGGATCATTTTTCAAAGAATAACTAAAGTAGGTAGTTTTTTAAGTTAGGTAGCATAGAAAAATAATATTTTAATGGTAAATTTATTGTTTTTTTTTTTAACAAATCAATGGTACAAATAAAAATGGTAATTTAAATTCAAAACAAAAATGCTCTTGATAATAATTATGAATTATACAGAAATAAAATAGTAATACACAGCCAGCTTGTGTTATTTAATAAGTTTGTTTTGTCTTGAGAATAGGTAAATATATATTTTTGTTTACAAACAGAATACAATAGAAATAAAGGATAAAATACTTAACAATATTAATGATGACATTTTTTTCAAAAAAACCTACTCTTAAACATAATATTATATTATATATTTTATGGGTGTATTTTATTAATAAAATCTCTATAATAGAATATATAGTAAAAATAATTCATTAATTCAAAAAAATATAAATACATACAATATATATATTATATATTTAAATGATTATTATGAGTTTATCCAGATCGATCGAAGGACACTCATAGTTTAATTGCTTATCAAGTTTCTTAATATTTGTTTAAGAGATAAACGTTGAAATCAACATTCACTCTAGTCTAAATTAATAATGTTCAACGCGATACTTATTATTAAGCACCCCACCTAAAATTACTTTTATATACTTCATAATGAGATCGATCACAAATTAAATTTCTCTTAAACTTTGGCTTTTGTAAAAGATTTGAATCCAAATTATGCTCCCCTTAATAAAAATGTTATAGAGATCAAAAAAAAAAAAAAAACAAAAAAACAAAATTATACAATAAAAAAAAAATGAAGTCTATCAATTTTAGTTTGAACACATCTGAATTATTAAATTCTTAATTCACATTAAGACTTATTTATCTTTTTTTTTTTTACTTTTTTACATATTTTTATTTCCAGAACAATTTGAGCCTTATAATTAAGAAGCTAATTTGAAAAAAATTATATTTCTTTAGAAAGATATGTTAATTTGGGACAGGAGATTGTCTTAGAGAGCATTTATATAATAATAATGAATATAATTGTATACAACCGCATGTGACATAACTACTTTAATCTTTTAGTATTACCATAATATTACTTTTGAATGATAATTTAACCAAGTTATATACACTAAAATTAATGTGTATATTTAGTTTTTTTTATTCATATTAAAAGTCAAATTTAATAATTTGTTTAAAATAGATTTTTTTTAATAATAAAAAACTGTCACATGCGTTTAGTATATTTCTTAAAAAATAAATAAATAAATAAATCAAATACAATAAAATAATAATAGTAAATACGAACTCATAGAGCAATTGGTAACTACTTAAAATAATATAACATATAATATCATATAAACAATAAATAAATCAAAGTAATACAACCAAATAAAATAATGCATTTACTTTTGGGAAACAACATAGTTTGAGAAGCAAAAGTCTAAGTAAAATAAAATGCTTGTTCTCGAAATTTTTAATGTCATTTGAAAATAAATACAAAAATTATTCTGTGCGCATTTAATATGTAAAAAACATTAAGTCTAACCATATCTATAAATATAATTTATTATTTTATTCATTTATTGTTAAAAATTATTGCTTTTTCTTAGGACATTATCTTGTTGTTTTTTATTTATTAAAAACTAATACTTTGTCTTTTTTAAATTTATAAATATGGCTTTTTTGTCTGGTATATAAATATAAATTATCATTTTCATAACAGTCAAATGCATATCAATGCAATAACGGACTTATGAATGAATGAAGTACTTTTCCTAGGAACTTTTCCCCAAGTACTGAAACGTTACAAGTTTTTAAGTATTACGTCGTAGGTATTAGATACCTTAATGTATGTATTTATATGTTTGTATGATTTACAAAATGAACTTGGTAGAACAATTATTATTATTATTATTATTACCATTATGATTATTATATACCTAGGTATATTTATATAACTTATTTTACTAAACATAAAATAGAAATTTGTTTGTACATAAAACGGGGTACAAACCTCGATGAAAGTTGTAATAGAAAAAAAAAAAATAATAAAAGTTATAAACGCTAGTGTGTCTTAGCGTTTAATAAAAATATAATAATAATAATAATATAAAAAAAAAAAAAAACAATAATAATAATAAAAGGAAAAACATTTTAATTTTGGCAGTTAGCGTAAATTGGTGCAGATTGTCGGCATCGGCGGTACCCGGTGTGTCGTTTTCATTACGCCAATTGTGCGTTTTCCTGGGACCCGACAAATCTGGTGCACGCTTTCTTCCATTTGCATTGCGTGCACCACTTCTCTCGGTGTTCCATGCCGTATACCTTGCGACACTTTTTCGTTTCACCACGCGCTTTTCTCATAGGGCTACTCGGGAACCTCGGCCCGCCCAAATTCTGATACATCATTTTGATCTGTTTCTGAAAAGGAAGAAAAATACGTTGAAAATTAAAACCGTATACACCTAATATTAGGTGACGAGTAATTTTCGGGAAAATCGAAATCAAATCTTTTGCTGAAGTAATGTCATTTTGATGCTAGAAACAGTGGTTTTGGTGTATCGTAATTTAACAGGAATTGTAATCGTAATAATTATTGTGGTCATAAAATCAATCGAAGTTTCATTTTTTCATATTATTTATTTTTATAATACAAAAATTAACCGCGATAATACATTTTACTCGTGTAAATAATCACTATGGTCAATATAAGCTCATAATAATGGATTGATAAATAATAAAAATACATTAAATATGATGGTTAAATCTTATCGCGAAACTTATTTTATTTGGTAATGTTATTTGTTTTAAAGTATTATTTGTTATTGTTGATATTAAATTTCAAAAAAATGTAATTGACCGCCACTTTGATTATATTGTGGTTTTTTTAACTCCTTCAAATGATATATACCTTATAAGAAAAAAGTTTGATTTTTGAAAGGTTTTCTAAACTAATATCATTTTTTTTCCCGAAATCGTACACTACGCACCTGTCCGTTAAGAGATGCGAACGGCCAGTTGACAGTGGTGGTTCCCGACGGTATGTTCATCGGGCAAGCGCCGCCAGGACGAGGTATGATCAACGTCTTCTGGTATTCGGGATCTATACATTCGACGATGATGAACCGAAAACAAAACAAAAAATAACAGTTAATGATCATTCGCAGATCAAACAGCGCACACGCGAAAAGTAGTAATACGAATCGTACAAATAATGATCATCTTATTGGGCGCGCATCCTTTACCTTCGTGCGGCGGACGGGCCATGTCCCGGTGCGACAGCGTGGGTGGCGATGAAGCCGCGCCGAGTTCCACTTCCGTGTAATAAAACTCCTCTTCGTGATCGTCAATCGAGTCGTTCGTACAATCGTCTGACGGAGATTTGTCAAGTCTAGGTCTGAAAAAGTCGAACGAGAAACATATACACACATGAAATTAAAACGATCGAAATTCAAAAATGTACGATAAATAAAAACAAGAGAAAACATTTATTTTTCCTCAATCATATAAATATTATATAATATACCAACCTCTAACCCCCGGCAACGTCATTGACGGTCCCGAGGTCGATATATGTATAATATATATATATATATGCATAACGATAATATTAGGTATATATTATTGTTATTTTAGTATTTTACTCCGCGGCGCCCTCGTTATATTGTTTAAAGACGAGGACGCCGACGGTCGTGTAGTGCAATAATAATTTAATAATAATATCTAACACTCACGTCCCGCGCATACTAATATAGTTGCAGTTGCAATATAATTATAGCAGCTGCATACATATATACGAAAAAGTGTATTAATAATTGCACTACTTGCTGATCGCTTACCCAAGGTGATTCTGGCGGACGTGTAATTCGATGGAAGCCACAGTGGTAGTGATCATTACGCATCCGGGCCAAGTGCATTGAAAAACTGTGCGGCAATCCGACTGTAACATAAACGTAAGAAAAGTTCGATTATTATATCATAATAAAATTATTATTTTTATTGTATTCTTTCGTCCAACGTTCTACACACCACAACTGAGTAACAAAAGTTGGCAACGAACAAAATTAATAAATTTCAGTGAGAATAACGAAGACAACAATTATTGTTAAACGTACAATATTATTATATTTAATAAACGGACAATGAGCACTATGACATTTTGTACAAACAAAATATTTCTAGGTCATTTAAGTATTAAGAGATTAAATTATTGTTCTCCAATGTGTTTATTATAAGTAGTGAGAGCATATCCGTCGGTATTCATTATATTTTCAAAACCGAGAAAATAGTCACGAGAGCTAAAAGCAGAAGTCTATAACACGACGACTATTAAAATATAATAATATAATACGACTGCCGACCACCGTCGTTAGTCGTTACATCGTCGCATGCAAACCATAAAACAAAATTATAAGAAACAAATATTAAGTGCAATATATTTTATAACACACAATTTAAAGAATTGTTTTAATGGTTAAAATAATTATATTTAGTTTAAACTTAAATCATATTGATTTATCGCAACAAATGACAACGATAAATAATAAAGAGTGACCAAACATCTCGTTTTTGAGCATCGTAATATTGTATTCACTATTCATGCCTCCTTGTTCTAACAAACTTTGAACGGGACGCTTTTTGTCTCGTTTTAATCTCGTTATCTCCATATTATTCTATGAGCATAAGAGAAAAAAACCTGCACACGAAACAAATACTAAACAATATTTTTACAGTTTTATATTGAATTCTTGAAACCAAAGTATAAAAGTTAACAGTTATAACTTATTAACAACAGATTTTGTATAACGTGCGTCAAGTGTCGACGAACAAATATCAGCAATAAGGTTGATATATGTTGTATTGGAGTATTCCACAGTGTAATTAAAGATTCACACTGAACCCGTACGACCGTGGCGACGCTTTCCAACAACTAACCGTATATCTAACATGCGAAAATAATTTTTAAAAAATCTTTCAAGATATAAAAAAATTTAACAATGTTTGGAGCATTTAAAGTTAAGACAAAATTGTCTGTCCCGTTTATTTTATAAACATGGTCACCCTAGATAAATTAAATATATTACGTGTATTGGCATTGTTTACTGTTCACGAGAACTACAATGTATTGTTTATACAATATACATCTATATAATTATTATTTGAATATATTATATGAACGCCATTAACAATAACGGGCGAAAGTGTATAGCGTATAATCGCATAATATTATAGTCGTTCAGTGGATGCATGTAGCCACGTAGGAAGTGTAGGTCACCAACACTGCACCGGTGCACTTAATAATATTTCTGCAGTTAAATCGTCGTGCGTCATAATGTAAGTTGGCAGATTCTGAATGTAGTATTTACTATTTTCGGAATAATTGCGTAAACAATAAAACGGAGATAATTTTCGGCAATTTGATGAATTTATGAGACGCGCTATTTTTATTTTTATTAATATTTTAGTATTTATTACGTTAATATTGCACAATTTGTAAAAAATTATTTAATTATAAACGCAAGTGATTAAATTCTTCAAAATTTCTAATTAATTTAAAGGAAAACAAATCGTGCGAGCGTTTAAATACACAACTCTCTCTCTATAATATGTTCTATACTAAATAATATCTACTGTCTGTATAATAGTATGTACTCGGGCGATGGAACGCCTATAATATTGACATTTGACGGTCACGAACAAATTATGGCGTTCATTTATTATATAAGCATTAATAGCAGCAATACACTGCCGTCGTGTTAAATTCTTTTTAAATAGTTCCAAAAAAAACTGCTAGATGATATGATATTGTTATTTAAATGCCGTTGACTGTTATTTTTGGTTTATGGAACAATCGATGACAACGATGACATATAAATACCATTCGACGGCCTTTACCAAAAGGCCAATTGTGTGATAAATATAATCTAAAATTCTTGGACAAGAATCAATAAAATAATAATCGGTAACCGCTTCGTGAGAACCATTTTCAGTGCCAATGTTTTATGGTTTTAAATATTATATAAATGCAATAAGGTCATTATCGAGAAACATTTGCGTATAACAAAAAGTAGGTTTAAAAGGATACAAAGAAAAACTGGGTTAATGACGGCAATAATATTGTTCGAGGACCGAGGTATGAAATAATTTCATCAAAAGTTTTAAATCTATACTCTGTTCAATGAGAGAACGCACAAATTCTGCGCATCCCCCCGCGTCACACTGCTATGGAAACCGGTTCTCCTATGGCAGGGTATTGCGTGGGGGAGCCAGTTCTCTCGCTGAACAGAGTATACAAGCCCGATGAGATAGTAATAGAAACGATGGGCGAGAAGAGTAAAAATAATAACACATTGGTAGTGAGAACGAGAAAGATAATTATTGCGAAGAAAATAAATAATCTATACTTAATGTGTGTAAAAATGCATCAAAGGTCAACCCCAACGGCCAACAGGCAACAACCTGCAAGGCGCACGGCTGCTCCGCCGGTACTCTAATGTTATAAATTATAATATAATATTACATATTATTGCACAATGCATAATCACCACAATCACAATAATATCATAATACGATCGTGATGCACCTCGAATATAACCTGGAAACGGGAGCGAAACGTTTCACGCGAACACGCAAGAGACAGCGGTGGCGGTCAAGTGCAGGGGAATAAACCACTGTCGTCAGCAGCTGCCATCGGCGAATGTATTTCGTAATATTATTTTAAAGCGCGTACTGCCGCGTAGGTATATTAAAATATTTATTATATTAATATCGTCGGAAGTGCGGGTCGCGACGATGACGTGCGACATGGACATGGTAGGTAATATGTAGGTATGTGCGTACGACAGTGACGAATCCGCGACGGCGAGAGGGACGCCGAAATGAGGCCGGTGCAGCGGCTGAAACCGTGTGTGTACGTCTAAATGGGTCAGGTCGCGAGCGGGGCCGCGGCGCGCGCGCATATGTTAACTGCTGGGAATGGTCCGGGGAAAAATGAGGTCAGTAGGCACGGTAGCCGACGGTTTTCTGGCGCGCTGGGAACGACGATGACGAGTAATATCGGATCGATGAGCGCGAGCGACGGTGGTGATGACAGCGGCGGGACGGAGCCGAGGAACGCGGTACCCACGTGTCAGTTAGCGCGCGCGTGCACGCCGGCCCGCCGCCGCCATCACACGCACACATACACCGACCGGCATATAATATTACACCGGGGAGCGCGTGTGTGCGGCCGGAAAAGCCGACTTTAGCGCGCGCCAATCGCGCTGGGCGCCCCCGCGATAACAAACAGCGGGAGCCTCAGCCGCCGCTGCATCGTCGTCCTTTGTTGCCGTATCGATCTTCGGCCGGCCGGATCGGCGTCGGCGGAGGGTAGGATCGCATCGCATACACAACAAAGCCACTCCCCCCCTCAATAGCTTACCCCGTCGAGCGACGAAAGTGTAGTACCAGTGGGGGTGGTAGTGGTGGTGTTATGTTGGCGGTGGAGTGTACCCCCTCCTCATAAGTTTTGTAATCGGGTCAAACGATTAACCCGGTTAACGGAGCGGCCGGGTGCCTGGAAAAACAAACCGAGCGCGCCAACGAAGTTTTCCTTTTCCTGTCTACGGGAGAGCGCCGCGCGTTCAATTATTATGTTACGTCAAAGTATATTTAAAAATAATATAGAACACGACAATAACAGTCGCGACGCAAGATGACTCGTATAATAATAATAATATATAGTATGACGATAGTATATTATATTATGTATATTGTATACATAAATAATATTATGTGTAGTATACGTTATAGAATGAATACCACCACAACAACAACAACAATAATAATAATATTATATTTCGACGGTTTGAGCTGCGCGATTCAAAACTAGGTCAGCTCGACCCAATTCCAGCGACCGGCAGAGGTTCGCAACGCAAACAAACATTCACTCACTCGCGCGAAGAGACCTAGTTTCGTGTCCTCCCCTCCACCGCACGTGACACGGGTTCGGCTTCGGCGGGACGCCCCTCCCATCATGAGTCTATCAATTACTACCGTATCCGCCGTACATCGTAAATTATTATTATATATACTACTTAATAATAATATAATAATACAACGTTTGGTCATTGCGTGCGCGAAAGAGAGAAAAACGCTAAGTAGTGTGCGTAATTATTAATACTTCGGACGGATGCGGTTCCGTGATGCGCGATGGAGAGGTGCGCGGACGAATGTACATTACATTTGTATGTATAGGATGAATCACTAGTTTTTATTTTGTTTTTCTACCTCGTTTCAATAGTTAGGCGCGAGCAAAAATAATATTATTAATAGTAGGTGATAAATATATTTATAGGTACGAGAGCTTGACGCAAAATCATCAGTTTCCACAGTTTCGGTCTCGGCTTACATATTAAATAATATAATATATTATATACCGTATAACCGTGTGGGCATAACTAAACATTACATAAATCGAAATCACTTGTTTAACATCGGTACGAATTACGAAAATAAATAAGTATAGTACATCATTATTGTATATAGAGAAACTCCGGCCAAGGTGTGTGTGATGGGGGTCAAGGTGGCACGGAAATAAGCTAGCTCAAAATAGCATCAGTAAGGAAAACGGTTCTCGAATAATAATTATATATATAATATAATAATTGTCGTTACTCGGAAAAGACGACTTATTTTTTGCACAGCGTTTATACCAAAACTGCGTTTTGCGTAATGCAATAAGTACGTATGTACATTGTACCTACGTCCTACAGCGAGACCACTGCCAACATTATTCGTCTGTCCCCGCCTCGCGACAAATAGACACGCTCAAACGCAACTTAATTTTTTTACACTGAGCACGGTCTGTGAAACATATTTTATAAGGTTTTATCCATCGGTCAGAGAGTTTATATCATTATGCGAAAATCTTCTCGTAGTTTGTCAAAACCATTATTATAA